TAAATATCATCCTGAAATTCTTTTTTTGCACTGCACAATTACTTTTCTTACAAAATGTGCCTCATGTAAAGATTTTCTTATTTTGTTATAATTAAAAAACGAATGATTGTAGATACTTGAAAATTTCACTGAATATTTAATGTTTATATTAGCATTACCATACAATTTTGAAAATATTTTGACTCTTTTTAAGGACATTTTCAGTTTTCAATTTTAGATTCTGAGTGAAACGATGAATGTATTGATTTTACAATGATGTGTGTTTTTTTTGTGTCTGTGTACACGATAAGTAGTCGAAATAATGCTTTGATTTTCAACTTTAGTATCTTGTTTTATTGGAAAGTGAATATCGTTAGTGCATTGGGGAGGTCAAAATTTAAAATTCCCAATAGTTTTCACAAGCGCCAGGAAAAACAACATAAAAATGAAGGAAAAACGGGAATTTTTTCGCAAAATTGGTTTTCCAAAAAATCGATTTTGGTTATTGGTGTAACTCTAAAACAAATGAACGTATATACATGACATTTTCACTGGTTGTTTATATTTGCAGTTTCTATACACGATACCATTTTCAAAATATTTTGATTTATTTTGAACTGATTAGGGACATTTTCATTTTTCATTTTTTTTTAGTTTATTTTCTAGAAATATCGATAAAATTTTATTTGTTGGTTAAAAAACTTGAAAATTTAATAGAAGGCTCCTAGTATATTGTTTCAAAGGCAGATGAAAAATAATAAAAATCATTTTTTATAAGCATTTAAAGTTCAAAAATTGACAAAATATGGAAAAATCACGAAAATTAGCAAATTATTTTGAGTTAAGAATTCGTAAACATTTTTCTTTTTAAATCTAAGATTTGAAAATCTAATACAAGATTACTCATAAGTAATAAAATTATTTTATAATCAATAAAAAAATCTCTACCGGACAGTCAAATTAAATTTTTATGAGCGTTTGAAATTCAAATTTTTACAACATTGGATGTTCACTCGATTTCTCATGTAGCGATTTCCTTATTTTGTTGTTATTCATAAACGAATAGATACATACTATAGATACTATGCATACTATAGATACATGAAAATTTCACTGAATGTTTATATTAGCATTTCCTATACACCATACAATTTTGAAAATATTTTGACTCTTTTTGAGCTGTTTACGGATATTTTCATTTTTCAATTTTTTTAGTTTTTTTTTCTATGAATATCAATAAAGTTTTATCTGTTGGGCCAAAAAGTGTAAAAATTTAATACAAGGCTCCTGATATATTGTTACAATATCAGTTGAAAAATGTTAAAAATACATAGGCACAATTTTTTTTTATAAGCATTTAAACATCGAATTTTGACAGAATTTTTCAAAATCTCGAAAATTATTAATCATCGTAATTAATAAATTATAAAATGTTCAGTTTTTATAGCTAAGGATTGAAAATTTAAATCAAGATTCCACGTAAGTAGTTAATTCTCTTACTGAAAAATCTAAAAAATATACAATCACAGTTTATTTTATAGTCATTTTATGTTCAAATTTGGACGAAATTACATATTAAAAAACCTAGTTATTTTGTTGTGATTATATAATATTATTCGTGGGTACCTACTTGAAACTTCTAAAGTGTAATATTTTATATCTATGATAGTATCAGGGTATGTTATTGATGTTGATGTATAACGTGTTATAAGTACCTAATGGATATTGTGATAATGTGATATGATTAATTTGGAATTTATTATAAGTCAATTTTTGTTTTAATACCATAGATATGTATTTAATTTGTCTTAAACCTAGACTGACATACCGTCTTCGCTCAGAATCGTTTTTCTTATACAATGATATTGTATCATTGAATTCAAATTTAATAGCATGCATTATACAGTGACCCACTTGTAACCTACTGTACAGCAGAGCGACATCCACTTACCCACCTTTTTTTTTTAGTTTTTTTTTTCTATAAATATCAATGAAATGTTATTTCTTGGGTTAAAAAGCGTGAAAATGTAATGTAAAGCTACTGTGTATTGTTACAATAGCAGTTGAAAAATTATAAAAATACATAAGCACAATTTTTTTTTATAAGCATTTAAAGTTCAAATGTTGACAAAATTTATCGCATTTAAAATTTAATAATAATTTTGTAGTTAAAAATTTATAAAATGTTCAACTTTTATAGCCATGCAAGGATTGAAAATTTAAAACAAGATTCCTCGTAAATAGGTTATATATAAATTACTTTATTCACCTTAGTATCATCAAATATACTTCGTAATATCATAGGCTGATTAACCGTTTTCGCTCAGAATCGTTTTTCTAATACAATGATATTGTATCATTGAATTCAAATTTAACACCATCCATTCTACAGTGACCCACTTGTAACCTACTGTACAGAAAAGCACATTTTTAACATTTAAAATAGTTTAAGCCACTGATGGAAAAATTAATTAATTTCGATAAAACCAAAAAATGTTTAAAAATTCAAGAATCTAAAGTCTAGATTTATAAATTCCTGTAAAATATTTTAAAAATTTTCGCCTGCGGCAAGTGCCCACTGAGCCCCCCACGTTAAACACATCTCTGCCTCTGCGTATAGTCATTTGTAATAATCGGTGTTTATGTTTATAGACGAAAGCGGAAAGATTAGATTATTAACTAATAATCTATTGTATTATCGATACAGCGACAACGAAACCAACCGACAGTAGGTACTGACAGTAAGGTTTGGTATTTTTCGTCACCCGTATTCATAATATTTATTTTTTAATGATACTATCAACGACGATCGAGTACTGCAGAGTATAAAAGTAGTTTAAAACTATGAATTACTGATAAATATCGCGATTCAGGAGGTTAAGAAATTAATAATAACGTGTATGGCCATATAAGTATACCTACTTAAATTAATAACATAATATAACATATAGGTAACATATTTTTCGTTAGAATAATATTTTACAATGATCAAAGCGTATTTGTCGGTGTTATTTTATTTAAACAATATTAACTAAGCGCTCGGGTCTTGGGGCAAAGGGTACCATACAGTGGCGCAATTAGCTATTAGTAAGTAGTCAAAATAAAACTTTAGGGGTCCCCTAATTATACAAGTAGCAGCTCAGTGGAGTGTGTAAAAATAATACAAATTGGTTTTTAGTTATTTTTTTCACATTTTAAAGTTTTTATTATTACCTATATTATATTATTACTATACAGTCGGTATAGGGTAGGGGTATAGGTTAAAATGAGATAGTTAATAGTAGTTATATACTTATATATAGTAGTTATATACTATAAATTATTAATTATACGGTTATTGTTAATTATAGCCTATGGAATATAATTAAAAACTACGAGTTTTACACAAAAATGTATTAATATAAGGCTGTTGAAAGTGAACCATTTTTAAGGGGTCGGATTTAGGTTATATTCTATACCTATCCATCTTGTCTTTAAGCAATTTATAGACATTTGAAAACAAATTATGAATAAAAAAAACTAATATCATTGTATTGTTTTATACATTTATTACAGCGATTACAATTTTAAGTACATTTATATTTTCTAGTATTCTACTAAATAGGTAACAATGTGGTCCATCACTATTTATAAATTGTTATCTCTGATATAGGTACTGTAAATTCAAGTCTTAATCAAATTAATTTAAAATAATGGATCAAAATTGAATGGATAAAGATATAAAGTTAATGCGTGTCTATATTATATATTATCAAACTATCTACAATAAGTACCTAGATACCTACCTATTAAAATAATGAATTTCCATAATCTTAATGTCTACCTACTCGCCTTATACAGTTATCAGATGGAAAATCTTCGGGACGCTAAAATGTCCCGTTTTAAAAAATTAGACAAAAAAAAATAATGAAAATAAATGTTCGTTGACGAAATATAGTTTTTATTATATCTTATTTCTTAGGTGTGTTACTGTGTTAGGTATGTTTTGCTAACAAAAGTGAACTTTAAAATGTCTTGTACAGAATTTTACTCGTTCCTGAAGTCATCGCTAGATTTATAGAAACAAATTTGTTCAAACGAAAAATATACAAGTATTTAACTTTGTAATTATTACACGAAAACATTTTGTTTATAATAAGTTAGGTAATAAGTTAATTTAATTTTTTTGTCCTTTAAAAACATAAGTACCACAGAAATTTGCTAATAATATTATTAAATTAAAAATATTTGTTTGTAACAAATAATTATGATTTTTTTTTTTTGTCCCGTTTTGATTAAAAAAATACATGGTCACTTTAAGTTATCTATATCTATAATACGACTGGCAACGGAGTAATGCATTCTGAAGAGCTTCAATAACTCTGTTGTAAAAAACAACGACAACAGTTTACTGCTGTCTGCTACTAGAAATAATGCAAGAACCGGTCAACAGTCTTCGCCTGACGGTTTATCGGTAGTGTCTAGATGGGGTGGTGCGAGGCGCGGGGTGTGTGCACTGTATCGTGTGCACAGAGGTTGTGCTTGTGACCGTCCGTCGTCCGACCAGGTGGCGCCGTCGCCGCCGACGCCACCGCCGTTATCTCGCCGCCGCGGGGCGCACCACCGGCACTGTCGGCCAATCGCGAACGGAGTCTCGTGTTTACGACCGATCGCCGCCGCCGTCCAGTGCGATCGCAGCGACTACCACTACCGCGGAATCGTAGTCATTGTTTGTTATTATTATTATTATTATTATCAAGTCCGATCAGAAACGTCAAAAACGCACAAACTCACAAGTCACAGCGACGGTCCGCTGGAAGAGCTTTTATCGGTGCGACTGTTATAAACGATCGGACTCGACGACGACATCGTTTACAAGTGGTTTACAACGATCGGCGAGACGGGTGACCGACTCATCGAGCGCGTCCACTCGCGGAGTCGGCGGTCATGTCGTGAAACCCGTAACTCCGCCGGACGGATAAGCGTACCTGATAGCAGCACTGTGACCGTTGTCTCTGGTCCTGTCGTCACAACATCACAACATGCGCCCGAGCGGCGGCGTCTGCCGAAAACTCCTGTTGTCCGGTTATTGTCTGACGCTGTTGCTTTTGCTGCAGATCGCGCCAGTACGAAGTGAGTACAAAACCAATGCCACGGTCGTACATTAGTTATCTTTTCTGGCCACATCGCGAAGGCTTTACATATCTTCTAAACACAGGCCCGTCGTTAGGGTACAAGCAAGTTATGCGCTGCTTTAGGGTCGCTTAATTTGTGTAAAGAAATTGAAGCGGAAAAATCAAATAAATATTTTATTTCATATTTAAATATACATTTTGCTTTGGGGAGGAAAATATCTAACGACGTGCCTGTCTTAACACTATACAACACACAATGTTTTCACTCTGACTTGTCGACGATTCGACGATGATGACCTACAACAGTTCAATGCATTGAATACAAAGACTCTTTGTACTCCTTGTAACACAAACTGTCTTCTATTCTTTAATGCCAAGTAGTTAATTTTAACACCCCAAATACACATTCTTAGAGCAAGTTATTATGATGTCAATTATACTTTTACTACTAGGCACCCAGTGCTTAAAAGTTTCAATGAATCCTAAACAAAGAATAGTTACTACTTATTTAATCATCTTTTCATAATATTAAATGTATTATGATAATACACGAGTTTGAGACTTGAATGCCAATAATTCTATCAATAATAAGTAATAAACAAACAGGTCATCCTATAAGAAAATAAATATAGCAGGTTAAAATACAAATCTTTACTTAATATTTACAATTAATCAATAAGTACCGTCTATTTAATCATCTTGGTAGGTACATTTGATTCAAGGGCTTAATTTTGGCAGGGGCATGGAGGGGGCAAAAGTACAAAAAGTACATACATTTGCTACAAATTTGGCTAAACACAGTGTAAAACAAAGGGAAACTACAGCGATTGGGGGGATAAAAACCTCCTTTGCCCTCCCCCTGGATCCGCCACTGATTTGATTGGAAACTAGTAACAAATATATAATAATTTTAATATTTGGTATTTCCGGTTTATCTCAACTACCGCAATTTTTTAAACAACAAAACATATATTATTCATATCATATTGTTGAATTTTAATTAACATTAATTTATTACATTTAAGATAGTAAAAAATCAGGTAAAAATAATGTTCAAGTAAGTATATAAAATAGGTATTTTAAAAATTTAAATAATTTAAATCAAAAAGTTTAAAAAAAATTTCAGTTAATGATTTTAATATCCATTAGAACTCTATAAAATGTTTGGAAAGTTTAGTGCGAGATGTTCTCCTTTGTTTTTTTGTTTTGCCAATCTCCAAAGGTGTTCAATTTTTTGGGTGTGTGCTCCTGTGGTGGGGTCTAATTTACGACGAAATAAATACCAACAAAAATGGTTAATGGTCTGATAGCAAGGTACTTCGATAAAAAATTATACATTGAAAACAAAATTAAATTGTATAGGTATTTCGATGATACAGATTACAAAGCAGAAATTTACATTTATAAATAGATTCCTATATTAAGGAGATAGTTGAGATAACACTGATGATTATAACAGGTAGTCTTTTGAAAAATTTGGGTAGTTGGGATAAATCGCAAGTACCTACCAAATATTTTTTTATTTCATCGATAAGCACCTTAACTATAATATTATTAAACTATCTTGTTATGAATATTATGTGGTGTTATTTCACTAAAATATAATTAATTCTGCATGTATAATTTGTTAAAAATAGGTAGTGTAAGATTTATAACTGAACCTAGTGATATTGTAACAATTGCCGGTAAAACCATACGATTGGATTGTGAAGCAAATTTTGATAGTGTTGCTACATTGCCTCAAATTAGATGGAGAATCCCTGATGGAGAATACTTTGATTTTATCGGAGACACAAGAAGGTAAATTCTTTAAGAATAGTATTATTTTTTAGTTTACCTACAATATCATTAGATTTTTATAATTTTTTCTATTTTCTTTAATACCAATTGATTATTTTTATTTGTTATTACCTTAAAATTATAAGTAAATCGTATAGTTTCATTATAACTACAATCGTTCCTTAAATGTATTCTTCGCTGTAACTTACAATTTCTGTATACTATAAAATAATTATTTTTCAAATTACCTAGATTTTAATATTTAAGCAAGTTAAACAATGTCACAACATTTACTATTATCTCAGAAATTTAAATAGCCCTCCCTCGCATGGAATTGTATATGTCTGTAGACTATGTATGTTGTGCAGGATACTTAAGTATTAGAGCGCAGATTTGTATGCATTAAAAACCAACAAATATGAGCTAAAAAATATTAAATATGCAATAAAATATTCAAATATGCATGAAACAAATAAATATGCACTCAAAAGTTAGCAAAAAAGACATTTATTTTCTAAATATTTATTTAAAATAATAAATTTGAAATTATGAAACTTAAAATACTTTTCCTTTAAAATATCTGTTTTGTAGCTAGTTTTAATTTATAAGAAAAAAATAAATTCCCAAACATATTTCGGAAAACCATTTATACCTACGAGCACCTACGAGTGTACCTATTAATTTACATAAATTAATTTTCATAGAATTTTTCCATACTATTATTAATATACAATTTTCTAAGACTTATGGTACATTTAAAAAATGTATTTTTCTGTACCAAAATTGTTGGTTCTTATATTTTAAGCATAGTATTATACTGTTTTAGATCTATTTTGAAAAATGGGTCTCTGCTTATTAAAAATGTTTTCAATAATGACGAAAAAGATATTTCTGAAGGTTTAGAAGCATATCAATGTGTAGCATTTGTTGATAATATTGGTTCTGCTGTCAGCCGTATAGCAACTGTAACTCTTGCACGTAAGTCTTACTTGATGAAGTTTTTATATTTATTTATTTATTTATTTATTTATTAACAATAATATTAAACAGGTCTATCTCCATTTGAAAAACAACCGACGGATCTAAGACTTCTTCCTGGACAAACTGCACATTTCTCTTGTGTTATTAATTCTCAACCAATACCAAAAATAACTTGGTTTAAAGACCATTCACCATTAGTTATAGATGCTGCTCGTATGACAATATTCCCATCAGGTAAGATCGTTAATTTCACTACATTTATTAATAATTATAATTAATATTTAATATCACAATATAACTATATTCATTTTTATGTTATATATAGGAGCATTAGAAATTGATGATATCCGTAAAGAAGACAATGGTGCTTATAGATGTAATGTTACTGGATTGGATAGGCATAGATTAAGTGACCCTGGAGTGTTGACAATTGTTGAAAATGAAGGTTATTAAAAATATATGTATCTATTTAACTTCTACATTTTATAAAAATAAAAATAGGGTAAAGTAGTTAACCGCTCTGATGTACAGTAGGTACCTATCGAGTGAATCTCACCATGGAGTAGGCACTTTAATGAATGTTTAATTTTAATTAAATTATTAAAAGGGAATGGACTTATATGCTCTAAAAAATAAGAAAAATGCCTTTAAAATATGAAATTGAATGCATTCATAACAGAAATTTTAAATGCTGTTAAAATTACTTTTAACATGAAATTTGTTTTGTTATTAATTAATAATTATCATATAAATTCTTATTCTTATTAATTATTTGTATCAACTAATTACTCATCTTCTCCTATCTTTTTTCTAGCCTGAAAGTTATTTCGAAAAAATTAATTATACAAACCTTATTATAGGTGGCGACAACGTCATATTTATTTGATAGGTAAAAACATAATAAAATAGAATTACGACAAGGCCAAATAAATAATATTAAGTTTTTTTTTTTTTTAGATTGAATTTTAACTAAAATTTTATCCATTCTTATATTAAAATTACTTAAAAATATAAAAATGTCAAAAAAATTGAAAAATAAAAGTTTCAATTTTAATTCCTACAATGACACAGTAACATACAATGGACTTTGTGCTTGAAAAGCCATGTTCTTAGACATTTAGAGAAAAATACAATTTGCATTCAAATCCGTTCCCTAATGATTAATAACAGTCCAATGTATATGATAAAAACAATTAGACCAAAGAAAATTTATTTTAATAATAATATTAAAACTTATAACTAATGCTTGTATTAGATTCTGAATGATGAATGTATTGATTGTGTCGATAGGGGTTGTGAAAATATGAATTTGGTTACAATTTTTATTTAATTATTAAAGTAATTGTTTTATAACTCTGGTTACAAAAAAGTTTGAGCGTCAATTGATAATTTTAAAGGTTTGTACCTTAAATGTTGAAAAAAATATGATCAGGTGATCAAAATGCTTAAATATTTAAGTAAAAAAAAAAAAAAATAATAAGAATAATTAATTAATTTAGATGTAATATAAGATATTAATGAGATAGATCTGATATCCTGCCCAAAGTATAATGATTTGAGACCTAAAAAAAACGTCTGTGACCATAGCCCTGAAAACCTTATCTTATACTATGAGAGCTAGAAAGTTTGTTGATGGCTCAATAAAAATGGCTTGTCAAGTAGATACAAATGTGAAACTTAAAAATTAAAAAAAAAAATTTAATTTTTAACCATTGAAAAAATGGTTAATTATAGCTAAATTTTTCTTTAGCAACACTGATCTCCGATACTGAAAAATGGATTTGGTTGTTTAGGGTCTTGTTATAATCACATTGGCTAGCAGAAGTAAAATAAGTTTCACGTCTTTAGACATCATTATAGTTCATTCACTACATACCTTTAAAGTTGTAGATTAGAACTAAATACCAAACCAAACATTTATTTAAAATTTTAAAAGAGCTAAAAGGTATGTTCCACAAACACGGTAAAACCAAAGTATTAAAAAAGTTGTTTTATTTCTTCTAAAAAAAGTTTACAAAAAAACTCAGCAACTAAAAACACATATCATTCACTCCGCTCAGAATCGAATATAATTTAAAATGTAATTTAAATTGTATTTATAATTTGTGTAGATGCAATTAAAAGATTTAAAGCTCCAGAATTTGTTGCTAAACCTCATTCAACAATAGCTTTGGAAGGATCAATGGTAACTCTCGATTGTGCAGCTGTCGGAAGTCCACGACCAGTAATTTCTTGGTTAAAAGGTGGTACTCTAATTGATGTAGCGTAAGTATAAGTGTATAAATACATTTTTTATATTCTATAGATTACAGGATTTCTTTTTATTTGAGATTGAAAATTGTTAGCTATACACTTTAAATTCGTTTAGATACTTATAAAAATAAACCATGCAAAATGTTGGTCAAATTGAAAGATATTAATCTCTGTCACAAAAGCTTTGAAGTTAATTATTAACTAATTAAGTACCCACGAATTTATAAATATGGATTTAATGTTTCAACCAAGTTCAAAATAAGTATACCGTACACACATGTCTGCCTTTTTATCTTTGTTACTAAGGTACATTTTCATCAATAAAATATGATAAATAGGGCAGTGAAGTTGTAGTATTTGCATGTTTTTTGTTAATGCTTATATTTATTCCCTAGTGAGTTTAAAATATGTTTCGTTAAACTCTTAATTTAAACAAAAAAAAATTATATTGCAATAAATGCAATTTTGGTGATTTTTTTAATTTTACTGCAATTTTAACTATTTTTCATAATTTTTGTTTACATTTAAGATTATATAAAATAAAAATAAGTAAACGTAGTAGTGAACAAATTTCTATATTTTTTGTAATACTTATTATTTTATTAATATTTCTATAGAGCGATTATGTTGCCATTATATTTGTTTAGAGCAATTATCGCATTTAGGTTGTTAAGATAAAAATTGGTCCCTCAATTAAATATACTATCAGCATTTAGTTATATTTAAAATACTGACAACGTATTGTAACTAGTAATATAGATGTAATAGTTAATAGAGGTACAGTTCCGTACTATGGGGGCTAGAATCATCCGCACGTTTTTGTGGCCCGTACTGTAGTAGTCGTTCGTTATACTTTGTCGCATCTTTTGTCCGTCAAAATGCCAAAAGTCAAATGATTAAATCAGCCATTTAAAAAAATATGAATCATTTTTAGTTTTTATTATTTATTAATATATTTGATTTTATTGATTATAATTACATTTTTTCGATGCAATTTTTAATATATTTTAATGCAATAATGCAATCAATTTAGTGAGTTTTTTAATGCAATAACTTTACTGCCCTAATGATAAATAAGTGTATATCTAATAAGTGACCACATATTTTTTTTCCCGACATGGTTTTATTAATGTTTGATAGTTGATTAAATTTTTTAAACATATTAAGTTTTGACAAAGTACTCTTACAAGAATAGTGATAACACATTAAGTGTTTTATTTCCATTTTAAAAATGATGGATGTATTTTAATTAAGGTATGAATTTATATAAGAAAATTATATTTTTTTCATTATTATTTTAGATATCTGGATAGCCGGTTTAGTTTAATTGGTACTGGTGGCTTACAAATAACACAAGTAAATAAAAATGATGATGGGAATTATATTTGTCGAGCAGAAAATAGTGAAGATTCTGCTGATGCTTCTGCTACATTAGAAGTCCATGGTGAGTAATAGTATCCTTGGTAATGCTGAATTATCTGATTAACATTAAATCAATTAACTATAAATGTTACCTTGACATTATTGCTTTATACTATATAGAGTTCTGGTGTATAAATAATGAAAAAGAAAAAGAAATTAGGAAAACTAACTTTGCAAGTGTGCTAAATTCCCAGTTTCTAAACGCATATTAATATAACACAATAAACTATATTCCATATTACACAATTTAAAAATAATTCTTTTTGAACTTACATTTTTATACCTATCTTTTTTTGGTACTATAAATCTATATTAAGAGGACGCTACACCCGCATGTGTAAAATTTCATTATTTTTGAGTTTTTCAAACTTGAATAACTTGATTTTAGTTCTAGTTTATGTATAAACAATAGAAATTTCATGGGTTAAAGTTGATACCTACCTTCTTGTGTTGAGAGTAGGGAGATTATGTAACTAAAAAAAAATTATTATTTAATTTTACATTTAACATTCCTATACTAAATATTATAATATAATATAATAATTAATTAATTAATTAATTAAGCTATTCAAATAGTAGTAATAGAGGAGTCTAATAACATAATAGAAATATATAATAGTCATTAACTTCCATCCCCTAGTAATGACATTAGTCAAATTATCGCACATATAGGCTAAGGAGTATTAATTTAAAATTAGAATCATTCTCTATTCATTTAATTTTTGAGGGAAGTTGGTTACATAATATTATACTTATAATATCAGTTTTCAGCGACTACCAGTTTTTGTTTTATGACAGTCAGACGTCGTCCCCACTACGGTGGCGCGTTATGTGCTAAACTCGGCCGCCGAAGCCTGATATTATTTGTAATAGAGTATAGTTGTATAATAATTCTGCATTAATGGTTTATTAGGTTTAATTAAATTATTTAATTTAAGAAAATTACAATTATCTTCATGTCTTGTGCTATAGACATTATTTTTGATGCTTTATTATACAATTCTTTTAATGGAAATATTTTTAGTTTTTTGAATAAATCAGCAGTATAATAATTTTGATCAATAAAATCATTTTTCATTATTATACTAATGAGCATTCTATGATTTATATTTAAACGTTCCAATACATTTTCATATGGCGAACCAGTAGCGTATCTAGGAATTTTTCTTGGTTAGGGGGATATACAATTTTTAATATACATTCAGTATACACATATTATATTCATATTATTATATACATGTTCTATTGTGTACAAAATTTGGTCTCATTTGGTAGGTACGCCACTGTGCTGAACCCTATTCTATTATACCACATAATAATATGGATTGAACCAAAGCAAAATATACTATTTGTAGACATGGTATGTCAAGGATATTTTGTAGTTCTTTAAATATATGAAAACATTTCCGTGAGTGCATTATTACAGTATCGATATGAGGCTTCCATTTTAAATGTTCGTCAAACATTACACCTAGATATCTTGCTGATCAAAATTTGCTTTAAAGCTACACGTCTAATTACATAATATATCTGTTAATTATTTTCCTTTACAATACAATTTTATTATCATTTGGTCTGGTGTGTTAATATTATGATGCTATTTTGAACTATTACAATTATTATCAGTAGTATTGTATATGAGTTTTTTCCTATAGAACTCATTTTTAGCATATCTTATTTCTAAACAAAGTTTATTCTTATATTTTTTATAGTAATTTAGGAAATGTATGTTTATAACTTAACAATAATGGAGTACACTAGTTAGTTTCAATTTAATTATATCTAGTAATTTTTTTGAACGCTTAACAATAATAATAATTATAATACAATTGTTTATAATTATAGTTAAACCACTATTTATTCGCAAACCTAAAGATACAATGGTTCTTGAAAAAGAAGACATTACGTTGGAGTGCGAAGTAGCCGGTAAACCTCCACCTCGAGTCATTTGGCTAAAAAATGGTGATAGAATTAAACAAGATGAATACCTACAGTTTGTTAGTGGGTGAGTAATCATATATTATATAAGTTTAAGAATTACAAGAAACATTACCTTAGTTGAATTGTCTAAAATTTCATTATGATTCATTTCAAGTACAGTTGTAAATAACTGGTTGCACAACTCCAATATTAAATTGCTTAAGAGGACGCTACACTCGCATGTGTTGTCTCCATCTTATATATATATAATATATAACATAGCAACGGTTTTGAGAGGGTAAGAACTACTCAGGTTGTAGTCCGAGTTAAGCAACCAAATTTTCACACAAGAAAGAGGAGAACATACAACGTGCAATATCACATATGCAAAAAAAGTTCTTCTTGTTTAAAAATTCATTATTTTCAGAGTTTTTCAAACTTGAATAACTTTTTTTTAGTTCTGATATTTTAAAAATAAAAACGATTTTGCACAATAAATGTTCTCCTTTTTATAGTGTGAAAATTTGGTTGCTTAGCTTTGACTACTGCCTGAGTGGTTTTAACCCTCGCAAAACAGTTATTTCTATATTTTACATTTGTGAGACGAAGACAACACATGTGGGTTAGCGTGGGTAGTTTCCTCTTAAAATACATGGACCATGTGATAAGGCTCTGTAGAACTAGATTGTAGTGATTCCCTAGAGGCAAACCATACAATTGTAGTACAGACCATGGTTGCTTAAGTTAATGTTTCAAAAATTTCTCACAAGGGGTGCTCGGTAGTTATTCATTCTTATTATAATGTAATTGAGAGAGGGACCATTCATTTCATTAAGTTGTGCAACCAATATATGTTCAACCGAGATTTCAAGTGAAATTGTATTAATTATCAGCAGAGAAGGTTACAATGGAAAATCAAATTGAAATTCCGTATACAATACATTATAATAATATGTTCCATGAATAAATAGTAAAAATAGTATACATTAAAAACATTTTTGAAACATGTGTTTTACAGGACTAATTTAAAAATATCTGGCTTGATGACCATGGATTCTGGCATGTTCCAGTGTTTGGCATCAAACCCTGCTGGGAATATTCAGTCATCAGCGTTTTTAAATGTTTTTCATGCAGGTAACTTAATAGTTTTTCTATTTGTTTATAATATATCAGTAATGCTTGGATTTATTGAATTAGAGATTTATTGATTTTATATTTCAGTAACTAAATAACTTTAATGTATGTAGTAAAATATTAGATAATATGTAAATATAATTTTTTTTGTTTTAATAAGTCAATATTTTTAGTTTGTGGTTAATTTGTTTATTTTATAATTAACATACATTATATAATATAATATACTTACAATGCTTTATTTACTTAACAATATATACAAAATTACTAAATAAAACCAACCGATATATTATATAAATTTGTAATGGTATATAAAACAATATAATAATAATATATAAATAAAATAAATAAATATAAATAATTTATAATAATATAAAATAATAATTATTTTTAATATTTTTGTTTTGCTTATATTATATTTATTTTTCATGTGAGTTACACATTCCTAAGTTGGCAGCTAACATAAAATAATTAATCTTATCAGTGTAATATAACTATGGCTGGATAGAGCTGGGATAGCTTATTTATATTAGTTAAATTGTTTACAATAATAGTTACCAATGTTTAGAATTTATTTAAGTAATAAATCCTATATAAAAAATCATTCTCGAATAATAATAACGTAAAACCTAAAATAACGTCTTATAAATTCTTAAGATCATTCACTTTATTATTCAATTATTTATTTTTATTATTATTTATTACTTTTGCTTTGTTTTGTTTTGTAGTCATTTATTTATTTTTGTTTTGCGTTTTGTTATGTTTTTGCTTTTATAAACAGAAAATGTACCTAGTACAAACAGTTCTACAAATATTAGTAATGATTTCGTCAACTCGTTCTCTGCAGCTGAAAAACCCAAGGATTTAAAAAACAATCTACCATCACCCCCAAGAGCACTAGAAGCAAGTCTTGTATCATCTAGGTTAGCCACTTTAACTTGGATTATTCCACTTAAACCTAATGGAGAGATATTAACTTATACAATATTTTATCAACAAGAAGGATCAGACAGGTTAATATTTGTATAAACATTTTTGTACTTATTCTTAATCATTTTTATGTAAATGTTGCAGAGAACGTATGACAAACACAACACAAACTGATATAACTATTAACGAATTAATACCCGATAAGCATTATCTCTTTAGAGTTATAGCACAAAACAAATATGGTATAGGCGAAAGTTCACCGAGGTTAAAAGTAATGACCAAGGCAGAAATTAATTTACCTGGACAACCCTTCAATGTAACTGCTAAAGCAGTTACACCTACATCAATAATAGTCTCTTGGTCTAGACCAGAACACGGCAGTGAGAATTTGAAAGAGTACAAATTATTTTATATGAAGGTAGCATTGTAATAAATCAAATAAAAATCACAAATATGTATTTATAATTATTTTACATTTACCAGGATTCAACTTCCGATGAACAATTTATCATAACGAAACATACAGACCATGAAATAAGTGACCTTAGTCCATATACCAGATATAAAATTTGGGTAGTGGCATACAATCAAAATGGTCCTGGTATGAACTCTTTAGAAGTGGTTGTTTTAACAAAACCTTCAGCTCCATCTCAACCGCCACAAAATATTGTTGTTGAAGCAATTTCTTCTACGGTATACCTTAAAATATTTTATAATAAAATAATTTACTATAAATTTATATTGTTTTTTAAATTTAGGAGATTAATATTAGATGGGAACATCCACCAAAATCCACCCAAAATGGAGTTATAACCGGTTATAAAATTCGATACAAAAAACCAGATAGAAAATCATCTGGTGACACCATCACAACGCCTGGAGATAATTTAGAATATCAAATTTCTGGATTAGACAAAAGTTCAGTAAGTAAAAAGTTTTTTAAACTTCTTATATTCTTTTAGTATTGTTCTTTTTTATACATGAACAAAGCATACATTTTTATGAATTAATATTCTCAAACTTGAAATAAAACCTATAGTTCATAATTAAGTAAAATAATTAATTAACATAAAAATTTAAATATATACAAGTACAATATTCTATTAAAAATATATATGATCAGCTACCTATTGTAGATTAAAAATGTGTATTTAATACAGGAGAACTTGTATTCATTTAAAATTAATTCATATTATGTGACACAAATAAAAACTGATAATTAAATATTGATGGAAAAAGTTATCTAATATTAAAACATTTCTTTATCATCTAATTATCATATTTTATTTTATAGTTTGGATATTAAATAGTAGGTAGTTAATATTTATGTATGTTAGTAAGTTGTTCTTTAAACTAATGTACATGGAATATATTTTATTTATCAAAGTTAGCTGGTTAATATATTTTATTTATCATTTCAGACTTATCAAGTTCGTTTATGGACTTTAAATACTGTTGGAAATAGTCCACCTTCAGAGTGGTTTACAGTTTTAACATTTGATAAAAATCTTAGAGAAGATACCGTACCGGATGCACCTACTAATTTCAAAGGTTAGTTTGAATTTTATAATTTTTATTTATTTTCTTAAATGTATTATTTTAAAATAGTTCGAGCTTTTTCCAATTCACTATTGGTAACCTGGTCTCCGCCAAAAGATAAAAGTATAATTGTTAGAGAGTATACACTAGCATGGGGTAAAGGTGTTCCTGATGTGTATAAGGAAAAATTAAATCCAAAAATACGACAATATGAAATTAAAAATTTGGGTGAATATTAATTTATATATATATTTTTTATTTCAAATTATTTTATATGTATCAACATTTTTAGAACAAAATGCTGAATATGTACTGAGTCTGGCTGCTGTTAATGATATGGGTTTTGGACCATTAGCATACCTAGTAACAACCATAAAAGAACAAAATATTGTAAATACATTGGAGGAATCATCAAACCCAATAATACCACCAATTGGTTTAAAAACTAACGTTATATCTCCAAATGCCATAGAAGTATCATGGACAGATAATTCTCTTTTAGATGATTTTGATGTAATACACATTTTATTAGAAACAAACCAATTAATTATACATTTAATATTAATTTTAATTACAGTCAAATGTTGAAGATGTACGTCTTTATGTTGTACGATACAAATCGTCCTATTCAACTAACAAATCACGTTACAATTATGTAAACACTACTGAACTTTCTTGCATTATTAATGAACTAAAACCTAATACTCAGTATGAGTTTACAGTAAAATTGATAAAGGTAAATTTTTACTATTCAGTTGTTGGTATACTCTAGCCCACGAGAGAGCTTATCGTGAGTGCGATGACTAAAAGACTAAAACTTGTCTCTTACGTGTACACTCTCGTCAGCTATATATACTGTGCTACAACTTTCACAACATTGTCGCATCTGCTATGTACCTTTTGCCAAATTGTCGTGTGTTATTAAAGTGGTGGTAACAATGATGTTTGGATTGATGGTGGTGGTCAGGGTTACCACCTTTTAGTGTCAACCATACGGGACAGATTTTTTTGAGTCAATATTAAGTTTGATATATAAATATGAATCTTACCACACCATGGTTTTCACCTACTGCATTCGATGTTCCTCGTCAAATATTCTAACGGATGCATATTAACAATAAATTCAATATAAAATACTCCTTTTGTTTTTTTTATTGATATGTAAACCCGTTTGATATAAGATAATATAATTATAACTACTAAATATTTTTTTTAGTTTTTAAAGAATATTTTTGGTAACTTATTACAGCTTTTAGTAATTTTTTTCTTTCTTTATTTTTCAAAAAAATCTGAACAGTTTTCTACTAAGTTCAGATTTATTTGAAGTTTTGACTTAAAAAGCTCTGCTTTGCACCGGTTCCTTTGATCACTTTTTATTCATGATAGAAAAAACTCTTTCAACATAAGCATTTGATGGTAGAGGGAGCACTGGTGGTGAGAGAAGTTGCAATGGAGATCAGTCTGCGTACATAATACGACGAGTACACTCTCATGGCCTAGAGTATAGTTTTTTTTATAGTAGTTTAATATAATATAATTTCTATGACTAGGGTCAATTTGAAAGTGCATGGAGTTTACTCGTTATGAATAATACTCAAGAAGCAAAACCAGCATCACCACCAAGAGATTTAACTGCTGTTAAAAATGATGATAAGCCTCAATCTATAACATTAAATTGGCAACCACCAAAATTTTCAAATGGACAAATTATTGGTAAGTAGTTTAAAACAAACAAATTCAAAGACTGGACTAACTGGCTTTATATTTTGTTCTAGCATATATGATTTTGTATACAACTGATGATACAAGTTCAGACAATGAGTGGATCACTGAAACAGTTGAAGGAGAACTTATGTCTTACTCAATCAAAGGACTGACACCAAGTACTAATTATTTCTTCAAAATTCAAGCTAAAAATTCGATTGGTTATGGTCCATTTAGTCCTACTATTAGTATCAAAACATTGCCAGGTACTAAATTAATTTGAATATTTATTTGGAAATCCACTTGATCATTTTATCTTGTTAATATTTAATTTTGAAATATTTTTAGGTGGTAGCCCTTACAATGATGGAACATCATTAAAAGGTAAATAATTTTAAAAATAAACAAACAATTCTCTTTTATTACTTATACAATTTTATTTTTGTTTTAATCTAATTATACAGATGGAAAAAGTGGTATAAACAACACAACTATTTTATACATACTGATCGCATGTTGTTTGTTACTTATATCATGTATTGGAATTGGAATTGCTTTATTGTGTTGTAAACAAAATAAACCATTAAGAAATCGAAGTAAAAAAGGGTAAATTTTTTTTTTGTAATTAGTTCTTTAAAGTTTAAATATTTATGAAAATGTAATTCTAATTTATATAATTTACTCTATAGCAATTATACGATTGTTGAACAATTTAATTTTAGTATGACAAGGCTAAACATTATTTTGTAAATTATGGTTTCCATAACATCTAGGAAATTGATAACAAATAGTGTTATTTATCTTTGTCCATTATCTTAGCACTGCACAAATTTTATTTTGATAATAGAACTAATGATAACAAAATGGCTCATCTAACAATTTTAATATAATTTGAAAACAACATTAATCTTATTCCATACAATAAAAGTGATTACCTATGCCGTTTTTGCATTATTGTGGAAAATAAAACAATGTGAAATAGTGCTGTCATCTAGTAACAAATAAAAACAAAACTAAAATATACTATTTTAAGATTTTAAATAAAATTATATTATTGCCTCAGTTATTACATTTTTGTAGGTTTTCGCCTCTTGCACTGAATGACTCAACTAATATTATCATTTTATTAATAATTTATGCCTTCATCATAATATTACTTTGTTTGCTTGAAAAATGTTAGTTATTTATCAATAATAGATGACATTTAATTTTCAAGGTATATAAAAGGATCGACTGGTTATAATGCAAAGGGGGTAGCTCAGTCACCAAGCATTAAACCCCCAGATTTGTGGATACACCACGATCAAATGGAACTAAAATCTATGGAAAAATCTTCTCAAGGTTCATTAGATACGAGTTCTGGATGCGGTCAGGGAAGTTCAAATACGTATGATGGACCTGACACCCGTGTTACCATACATCATGTACCACAAGCTACAAATTCTTTAGAAAAAAGTAACTACGTTTCATCTTATGTGGGTATGTATGAAATATTTTTTCTTTATTACATTGCATTACGTTAGGGATGAATCAAACTCAAATTCAACTTGAAACTGATCCAAACTTTTTTCGGCTTGAAAATATGATTTAAATAAAATATATTTTTATTTTAATTAACAATTTAGTTTTAACTTTAAAATTATTAAATATTGATTTTCTTAAAATATTTTCCTATGATATTGCCTGGATATTACCAAATAATAATTATAAGTGTCTACACATCACACCATAACAAAAATAAAATATTGTACTATCCTAACTAGTCCTACATTACTCATTTATTCTTTACTATTTTAATTTCTTAAAGTTCAACATAGTGAAGACTCTAAGAATTTATAGCTAGACAGTGAAGTAGTGAAATTAAAATAATTTTCTTTTTTAATTTAATTGTTTTTATCTGTTCAGTTTTATGGTTTATTTATGTATTATTTTACATGTTGAGTTTTATTCATTTATATTTTATATATATGATAAGGTAATACAATTATGAAACCTTTATTGTCGGATGAAAAAGTCTCCACTTTAAAAAAACGCTTTAAACCCAAATCTGTTGTTTTACCTGTTGATTCATTTGATTCTGTTTACAATGATAGTAAGTTATAGTAGTTGTATTTAATAATTTAATATTTTTAATTTATCAATAAATTTCATTTCTTATTTGGTAGAGTTATTTGAAAATAAATTAAAGCAATTTCTTTTAGCTATGGCAACATTACCTAATCAAGAATCCCGTTCACCTCATCCAAAATCTCAATATGCAACCACTACTAGAGCTCATGTAACTGTAGATTTAACAGCCGGTAAAAACACGTTAATAATTTTATAAATACATTGTTTATTATAATTATATTTATTTATTTGTAATAGGAGCTCCTGAAAATAATTATATCGTTCAAGCCACTACAGTTCCTGATAAATTTGAATCCATACCAGTATCATCAGCTGCAAATCTACAACAACAGCACACGTGCGTATTTTCATTATTACTTTAATTCATTAGAGAAAAAAAGACATGAATATAGAAACCACTTACGCCATTAGTTAATTAACAATTTTTTGTTTTTGAACTTTTCAAATAACTTATTCATAAAGAACTTATTAGTATGGTTATTACATCAAATATTGTTGAAACAGTGCTTTATTTAACTGGTGGTCAATATGATAAAGGTTGAGATAAAAATTGTTATAAAAGTTTGTTTATTTTTTACTTAAACCATGAAACATTATTAAATGTAAATCGGTATCATGTCTTTACGCCGACGGTATCTACGCCGACAGTATCTACGCCGACGGCATTTACGCCGACGGTACCTACGCCGACGACATCTACGCCGACTAGTATCTACGCCGACGGAAAAAATGCCGACGAGTATCTACGCCGATGGTATGTTTTTTTACAAATCGAATGTGTTTCTATGGGACTTATATAAGAATAAAAATTAACTAATATGAAACTGAAAATTTTTTAAAATTAATTATGTTACTAAATAATTAAAAATAAAATACTTAACTCGTCGTTGCCTAGTTTTAAAAATATTGATTATTAAAAAAAACTAGGCAACGACGAGTTACGTATTTTATTTTTAATTATTTAGTAACATAATTAATTTTCCAAAATTTTCAGTTTCATATTAGTTAATTTTTATTATTATATTAGTCCCATAGAAACACATTCGTTTTGTAAAAAAACATACCATCGGCGTATTTACTATCGGCGTAGATACCGTCGGCGTCGATGCTATCGGCGTAGATACCGTCGGCGTTGATACCGTCGGCGTAAAGACATGGAACCATGTAAATCACTGTTAAGTCACAAATAACATTCCTATGTTAACATAAAATGCAGATAAATATTAATACTATTACTATTATTATGATGTCTAATAATATATAGTTTAATTACCTTAGTGATGTATAATATTTATGTATGAATAGTAATTGCGTTTTAAAATTGCTCAACTTTTGTGTCTTTAGAGATCATATTTAATAATAATAATCAAAAAATAAATCATTCAAATTTATTGTTACATAAAAAAAAAATTTAAGTTTTGAGTAACATTTTTATTTTATTGACCTGGCCCAGTGCACATTTATTATTATTATTATTATTTTTTATAGAGCATTACTAAATTCTAGTGAAAAAAGACAACAAGGTCATCCTTTGAAAAGTTTTAGTGTTCCTGCACCTCCGCCTCAGTCAGCGCCATCTACTCCTCAACAAAAACACATTGGTATTCAAACATAATTTTAGCGTTATTTGTAATAATTGATATATAATATGTATATATATTTAGTTACAGTCAGACCTCAGGGTTCATCCAGTCCATACAAAAAAAATATTTACTCAGCTATTAATAATTCACCATCCAGTACATCTGTGTCTAGTGGTCCTAAAACGTGGAAGTCACCATTAACTGGTTCAAATCAAAGAGATACTATAACTGAAGTAGAATCTCTTAATAAAATACAAGTAATGACAAATTTTTGATTTTATTGCTTTTAAATAGTTAAATGAAATTTCTTCTTGTAATTTTAAGTAGGAATAAAATACAGAGTTAAGTTAAGTTACTGTAACAGCTTAATTTTATTAAGTAACATAATTGTCCAGTCCTTATTATAATATTACAGTTTGTATTCATAATACTGTTGCCGTGTAACTAATTGATGAATCATTATACTATGTATGTACTGCGTAAAAGTTTTATACTTTTATCCCTTCATATATTATAGTAATATATTATTAAATATTTAGTTACCATTATTTGTATGCATATATATTAATTTTTAAAACCATCTAAATGATGTTTGTAAATAATTAAAAACCATTGTTAGATTAACATCATAAAGTTATATGAAATTGTATCATAATTTCAGAAAATTGAAGAGTGGGGCTTTTAAAATATTTAACATGTTTAACTAATAAACCCGCCGAAGTAGAATCTCTAGTTTAATTTTGAAAAACCAAAATATGGTTAATGATCATTTGTGCTCTTCCTCAAAAAAAACTTTTTGCATTTTGTATACTGATGTTCATTGGACCATTGAATAGATGATACCAATATATAAACCAGTAGTATTTAAATAATATTTTTAATTATTTATTATGAATTAATTAGACAACAATTTTATTAAGTTGGTTTTAAATAATTTTAATACATCCTATTTATTATTATTAGTTAGTATTTTTATAATTTGATACAATAATACATGTACTAAAACAAAAAATTTTATTTACAGACTTCCTATAGCACAGAAGAACTCAATCAAGAGATGGCAAACTTGGAAGGTCTAATGAAAGATCTGAGTGCAATTACTGCATCCGAATTCCAGTGTTAGGCACAGTATTTTTATTTTCATTTAGGTCTGTTAATTATAAAAGAAATTACTTTTTAAAACATACATATTATTTAGATTTAATTTTAAGTATTAAATGCAGTATATCATAAAGACTGATCTCTGATGTCCAGAGTGACTATTTTTAAACCACCAGATTACATTTGTAGGGTTATGTGTATATTTTTATTTATTTAGACACATGTTTGTACAAAAAAAAAATTGTATGAACTTTTCATTCCTGTTTCTTTTGTGATATTTGAAAAGTGATTTTGGTAAATTAGCAATAACTTTATTTTAACCCATTTATAATTTATATAGATTGTATAACCTTGCAATTTAGTTCTGGTAATCATGTGTTATTTATGTCACATGCACTTAATAGGTATTTCATGAAATATTAAAAATAAATTTTGCAATATAAATGATAATTTATTACTCAAATTTGCCCGGGGTTTTCCCCTCCCACCATCTTGTACGCATATAACATTTTTAACAAATTAATATTTTTAATTTAAACATTTGATATTCTTCATCATAGGTAAAGTTGTATCATCTATTTTATATTGGTCATTTTATATTTTTCACACAATATGCAGAACGTGTATTATTTATGTGAAATTAAAGTTTAAATTATTATTATGAACTACTTGTTATAATGATTATAAATGGCTGTTGATTAGGTTAGGTTTACCAGCAATACATTTATATTATTATCTATATATTCAACTGTAAATGACCAAGCATTATGATTATAATTTTTTTTTAACAAAAGTACAAAGTATTTATTAATAAGGACTAAAATAATATGCCCTCATACATTGCATACAAATTGTGATTAATAATAATTAAGTCTTTAAATTTATTTAAATAATACATTGAATCCAAATACAAAGTGTATTATATTATTGTTTACCGACAGTCTTTAATTTTTTTTTTGGCATGTAACAAATTTTAATTAATATGTATTAAATCTCTTTTGTTAATGACAAAATAATATTAAAAACATTTAATTGATGTTATGATTAATTTGTATTTCAAGATTAATTTTTTTTTTCTATTTGTGCTTTATATTAATAACATTGCATTTTATCAGGTTGATAAGTACTAAATGTCTTAATACATTAAATTATAGTATAGTTGATTTTTAAATTAATATTTGTACTTTACCTCTGGAGATTAAATCAAAATTATTAAAATTGTATACTAGTCAACTGGTGGTATAACTGTGTCAGAGAATATTTTTATGTAATATTTTACAAAACACTATTCTGTAAATGTTAACTTCTATTAATTTAATATATCTTTCTTAAATGTATTTCATAACAGTTGAATAGAATATAGATTAATATATTCTAATCACAGTTTTACTAGCCATTATTTTATCAGAATATGAGATTTTGAGTATTATTTTTATATGATGCACATATTATTATAACTTTTTAGTTACAACTTGTATTAATATATATTAAAGATAGTTTTCTTTTTATCTCTTTTAGTTTAAATATTATACTGCCATCAAAATGCAACTATCGCAATAATGCATCAAATTTTATTTTTTTTGTAAATTATGTAAGATATTTGTAAATTAACATTCTCTAAATTTCTGTAAATAACTAACTAAAATTACAAAAATATCATTCATATAATATGTCTTAACAGTTAATTTTTATTTGAACAAAAGATGATTTTCTAAAACAAAATATTATACTTATTCATGAATGATTTTCTGTATGACAATTAAAAAATAATATGTACCAGTGATATTTGCTTTATGATATAATATGTATAATTTATTTTTATAATTTACTGTTTAATTTATTTTATATTTTTATATTTTTTCATTTGTTTAAAATTAACACGAACCAATAATTGATTTTTATATTTCATTAATCTCATATGTTTTTTTTTTGTAATATCTTAACTTGCCCTTAATTTATTAACCCTTCCATAGTTTATGAATTAATTTAATACATAATTTGGTATTATAAATGTTTATTTTAACTATTTATTTGGCTAACTATCAAATCTTAAATTTGAAAGTGCTTTAATTATTTCAAAAATTAAATTTATGTCTTTTAACTTTCTATACACAAACAAAAAAAAATGTGCTGTTATCCTTAAGTAGATAGACTTTTAGTTTTAGTAATGAATTTCAATCAAAACATCACATGCCTGTACAACAGTTTTATGTTTATACAATTTTATATAAAACTTGGTACTAACTTAATATTTAATAACTATTAATCTTATGTTATAGATCTCTTAATCAAATGTCTTTTTTTCATGTCTTATTTAGTGCTTTATTTTTACAAAAATAATGACAAATTGTAGTTCCTCTTTTTGATCTAAACTTATATTTGTATACCTACTTCAAACATGTACATTATTTTTAATAAACTTTTTTATGAGCCACCTGTGCTTTTTATTTTTACGTATTTTATTACAGATCATTCGAAGACCAAAATTATATTTATGTATGTTTACACTAGTTATAAGGTTTAAATTTAAAAAAAAAATTTATTTTAGTCCAGATATATATAATATAACGTGTGCCTTTGAAAACAGGGTACACTTTAAATAACCCATATTACTTAGTTCTCTATACATATTTTTGAATTTGGTTTACAGGACAAAACTATACTTTGCTCAAAATGAGATGATGACTCGGCGGCTACCAGTTTTCGTCGGGCGGCGGTCAAACGCTGTATCCACTAATGCGACGCGTCCGGCGCTGCCACAGAACACAGCCAAGCCCATGCCCACAACTTGGCCGCGGAGTTGTCATTTAATCTTGAACAGAGTATAGACTATTGTCATTAATCTCCCACTGCAGACAGAATTCTAAAATATGTACAGGGTATGGAGTAGTGTAGGTAACTTTGTTATAGATTGCCCAGTTTTCGCGGACACGCAGTATATATATAGGGATTAAAAGAAAGAACTTACTAGTGATATAAATTACTTTAGTTCTAATAAATAAAAAAAAAAAAAATATTTACACTACTTATAGTATTCATTTTAGATTCTGGTCGGAGCGATGAATTTATTGATTAATAAAATAATATTATGTAACAATTTTTCTATACATGATAAAATGTTGATTTGTTTTGAACTGTTTAGAAACATTTTAATTTTCCAATTTTATTAGTCTTTTTTCTACGAATGTCAATAACCCTTTATTTGTTGGGTAAAAAAACTTGAAAATGTAATACAAGGCTTCTACTGTATTGGTACAATGACATTTGAAAAATTTTAAAATCCTTATTCACAGTTTTTTTTTATAAACATATTAAGTTCAAATCTTGACAAAATACGGAAAATCTATTAACTAATTATTTTGAGTGGAGAATTCATAAAAATTTTCTTTTTAAATCTAAGATTTGAAAATGTAATACAACCTTATTCATAAGTTTGCCTACCTTTATCAAAAAACACCAGCTCCCTCATTTTCAAAATATTGAAATTTAATTTTTCTATCTTTAGTATGTTTGTACGACTTTGTAAGCATTGTTACAGAATTTGTATGACCAAAGTGGCTCAAATATATCAAAAACCCGTCGTTGGGGGGCATCCCCCGACATGGGTTATTTGAAATGTTTTTTGTACCAATACTTTGCCCTCTATTCGTACGTATTTGTACGCGCAATATAAACATTCGTACCCTCTTATTTCAGGGGGATATCGATAAACCCGTCGAGGGGGTTGGCGAAACGTCACGCCAGCCCCGACATGGGTTATTTGAAATTTCAAATGCATACAATAAAAGCTCGAAAATTAAAATTATTTGAACATACTTAGCGTATTTTTGATACGATCTGTAATTTCACACATGGATCTATTTGAACATGATGTAAGTGGGTATTAGCTTATATATTATTCCAATTTCTAGGAGTACATAATATAACGTTATTTAATTTGAAAAAAACTGTTACGGTCACCAATACAATCTGTATCTATGTATTGTAATATATTAATATATTGGTATTTAAAAAAATATTTGATTATACTTAGATACCGACGTTTAAAAAAAAAAAAATAGATACCTACGTAATATTATATAATTCTCCTATTTACCACCTACTCTTATTATGGTCAATGTGTATCCTTTAGACGAGAAGATGGATAATTTCTGATTAAGATGATAAATCAGAAAAATACAAATATGATATTAGTAAGTCTTAACAAATATCAAAATATTAAAATATTTTTATAGTCAAGACCAATTACAAGTACCATATATTTAGATTTTTAGAATTTTGTAGAGAAAACAATTGTTAGGATCGTATTGTTTGTGTAACCTATATAAACTTAAATAAACTAATTGACTTATTTAATTATATTGTATTGTTATATACTTGAATTTTGCCATGGCACTGATCCTGCATCATTTACAAAGTATTCAGCATACTTATTTCGAATTTCATTGGCATGTCGTCCTCCTCATACATAGTTTTCTTTATCAAATCCCATTACAGGTAATTCATTAATTTCGTGTTATTCGTAATGAAGTCCGTCTTTTTCGCGAATAATATTATGTAAAATACAAGCAGCTTTGACAATATCAACAGCAAAATTTGTGGCAACATTCAATGGCCGATGAAATATACGCCATTTATTACTAAGTATACCAAAGGCGCACTCTACGTAACTCCGTCCTCGGCTTAGCCGGTAATTAAAAACTTTTTTAGTTGTAGTTAAGTGAGTGATAGCCACCGAAAGGTCTTAGTAAATTTTTTGTAAGTCCAAATGCTTCATCACCCAAAAAACATAAGGAAAATCGTGATCTCGTAATTCATTTATCGGTTCTGGATCACGCGTATATGTAATTCGTTTTTCTCCATTAATTTCCACAGTGACGATTCTTTAAATATTGTAGAATCACATTCTTTTCCACACGCTCCAATAGCTATGTACGAAAATCTATAATTTAAATCTGCTACAGCAAGCAGCACTATAGAAAAATAACTTTTATAGTTGTAGTACATAGATACACTTTTTTTCTGTTATAATAAGCCTTATATGCTTTCCATATCTAAAGAACAGTATAAAAAATATCTGTATACCTAATATATAATTTATACCTAAGGTTTGAAAATATATTGTGGAAGGTTCTCCATCACTTAATTAAATATATTATACATTTGTTGGTCATGTAAAAATACTTCAATATTTAAATAGGAGATTTAACATATTTAGTTGATCTATTATGAGTGATTAAAAAATTATTAAACACATAAACACAATTTTTTTTAAAAGCGTCTGAGGTACAAATATTGACCAAATTTGTAAAAATTACGAATATTTGTAACTTATTTTGTAGTTAAAAATGTAAACAATTTTTTGTATTCATAAATAAGATAAAAGATTTCTTACCTTTTGTGTTGTGTATTGTGTATAATAATTAATAATAATACAATATTTTTAGTTAAAATGTATCTCAGTAAGTGGTCCAATATTAGGGATAATTGGGTTCGTTCATACAAACAATTTAAAAGAAATGAACGATCTGGATCTGGTGCAAATAAATCCAAAAAATATATATTTCACAAACAGTTAAAGTTTTTAGAAAAAGTAGTCGACCAAAGAACTACAATTTCCAGTTTGTCAAAAGATAATGCTAACTCTGAAGAGGACAATGACCACCGCAGTATAATTAACGAATGTTGTGATGCTATAGAAAATGAAAATACGGCTGAAGCAACTGTTTCAAAATCTGTGATGTCTTCAAAAACCACATTGCCAAAAGGAAAAAAGGAAAAACAGATGATTTTGAAGCAGAATCTTAAATATTATTGAAACTCAAGAAATACCACTTGAGCAAAATGTTATAAACCCACACATGTCTTTTTTTGAAAGCATTTTACCATCAATCAAACATTTTAATGAAGATGAGACATTTGATTTTCGTATTGGTGTAATGAACTTGATCAAATCTATTAAAAAGAGGAATGTTACTGGTCATTCTACACCAAATCCTCAACCTACAAATATGTATAAGTGTATAACACTTCTTGTAGGTATGTCACAAAATTATCAACCAGAATTTGTTAATACAAATTTACATTCAATCCCAGCTTCGCCTACAATTAATTTACAAAATTACATAAGATCATATCAAGGTGCAGCCGCTTCCAGTGATTCAACTTTCATTTCGCTAGTACCTTCTGTATCTACATCTTATTCTGATTACAGTGAAACGACATCAGAATACAGGACAGGTTAGTTACCCTGGCCCCGCCACTTACGATTTATAAATGGAAATTAATGTCAAATTATGTAATATCATTTGTAATCATTTGTAACCACAAAAAAAAAATTTGTAACCAACCCACTTCGGCTCAAAACGAAGTTTCCATGTGACGGGCCACGGTGACGTCACTACAGCCCGCCATTACAGAAGTTCGACTTGTAGGTACTTGAAACCTAGTGGAGATTATGTAATATCATTTGTAATCATTTGTAACCACAAAAAAAAATTTGTTCATCGATCCTTTTGACTAAATGGTGCATGTCAATTATTTTCAATTTTCATTAATTAGTACTCACCCATGTTCAATTGTTTACCCTGTTAATAATTTTTTTTGAAACTTTTTATTCTTTAAAACAAATGTATTATTTATTTATACCTTTATATTATATATAATATGTTTTTTACGTTATAATATTATGTAGCTAATATCTATGTTAATATACTCCATAGTATATAAAGTATACTACAAAATATAATAAAATGTTAAAAATATTTTTCACTTCGTCAAATTAAATATTGTGCAAAGTTCATAATCAATAATATCTCAAAAACAGTCTTACCTTTTTTACATTTTTTAAATCTCTTAAAATATTCGTGTATTTGCGTTAGTTCAGTTCTTGAAATTATTATTTGTAAATATATAATATTATGTAGGTAGATATAGGTACCTATATCATATTATTGATGGTTATTACGGCATTATTATGTAGGTACGTTTACATATATTATTATTCATTACATTGCAACACATATTATATGTTATTAATTGAACGTTTATTTAATACATAGCAATTAGCAATACTTACATTATTTGGTAGCTATTCTTATTGTTTTCTTAAGTTATGATGGATATAATTTAGTTTCAATCATGCATTAAAGAAAATCGATATGGTCACAGAGAAGAGGATCATTTACGTTGTGCAGGTACTTTGTTTTATTTCAAATGAAAAATATGTAAAATTAACAATTATAAGTATTATTTTGTATAAAATTGAATTTCAGCATTAACTTTAAATTAACTTTAACGTAGTTGAAGTATTTAACTCGTAATAATAATAGCTTCACCTGTTATTTAAGTAAATATTATGTGTATATACTATATATATTAGAGTATAGGCCGCTGTAATCTATTTATAACGGACTATAATGTTTTTCAACTTGGTATATTATATTTTATTATTATTATTACTTCTATTTTTATTTTAGTACAATAAAATAATTGTAATATGTTTATTATTATAATTGTAATATGTTCATTTCCACTTGTGCCGTGGATGTGTTATGTTGTAATTTTCAGTTACAATAAATACGTTTTTATAATTTCAATTTATTACGTCAGACGTATTGTACAAAACACCGTTAAGCACTGTGATTTAAAAGGTAAGTAGTACAGATATGATAAACTATTTTTTACGTTTGCAATTTACATTTGAATAATAGAAAAATTAGATTACTATAGGTTATAACTATATTAAGTTTTCAGACAGCTAGAAATATTAAACAGATTGTTAAAAGAAATCTAAACATCTAACTTGACTAAGAAAATTATTGTAGCATTACACGAGAATAAAATAGCGAACTACCAAACAGCTTTACATTAAAGTATATTTCATATTTTCACCCTACAAATACACTCCGTGTAAAAAAACTGAGTGAAAAAATACTTATAGATAACTCAATAACTAATAAAGTGTGTGATATAAGGTAGAATCTAAGTAGTTGGTGAATGTGTAAAATGTAGGTATCTACATGGCTACATATATTAAATAAACCTACATGGCACACTGTACCATGCATCAATTAAAACCTATAGATATAACCTCGTGATAAATGATCTATTTTACAATAACAGGATGTTAAATATGTTGCTTGTTTCAACTTCTAAAAATAACATCAATGCGATTTACCTCATTGTATAATAGATCAACTTAATACTTATACATCCTTTAGATATCTATTGGGAGATTTCGATATAACATTCTACAATAACATCCATTTAAGTATTTAACAATAATATTAGGATATTAAATATATGAAATTTGCGTCAAATAAAAACATCTGTATAATGTATCATCGATGTTATCCAGAAACAGTTATAACTAAGTAATAACTAACAGTAAAAATAACATCCATGGGTTTTTAACACGTTCAATGCTGTAGTTTATTTGCCGTGCAGTTGCCATCATAATATATATATATCGCCGCGCCGTAACGAATTTCCGCCCGGTCGACTACGTGTCGACAACGCGGCCACCGGCACCATCTTATTCTACAGACTAAGAAAGACGGAAAACCCACTGAAGTTCCTTTGAGTAAAGATTGTTCAGAACCAATTGGTGGCCCTATATCATCCGATGAAGTTTGTGAAAAGTTAACAAAAATATCGTTGAAAATATATTAGAACAATGTATTGCCTGCAAAAATGGAGATTTTCCAACAGGTCTTCATCGTTGTATCAACTGCAATAAAGCAGTTCATTTGTTTGGGTGTTCAGTAGAAGAAGGTTGTGGAGAAAAAAGAATTTGTTTGGAGTGTACCAAAATAGACGAATTAGAAACAGAAAAAAATTCAATTGAAATTTGGAAAAAGAAAGGAAGTATGTCGTCATCAAAACCACGTTCTATGAAGTCATACTTAGTGAAACAGCCTGGATTTGAACAAATAGATTTCAATCACGCGAAAACATTTAATGAAATAGCCTTACTCAGAAATGGTTCTTGTTTTCAAAACAAACCTATATACGTACCAGGATATGACAAAGTATTGATGAACAATACTTGTTCAGCAGATTCTTTGTTATCAATTTTAGGGGTGTCTGTTGCAGAAAGCAATAATTATAAAAAGTATTTAACAGAAGGAAAAAATAATAAGAATGTAGCTGATTTTGTAAAAAAAATGATCGGAAACAGACCGTCCAAAGAAATGTACAGAGATCGCGTATATTTGCTTGCACTACATTTTATAACGGAGAGCAAAAATCTAATTGTAGGTATAATGCTAATCAATACAGTAGACACGGCTGCATCGATGTGCGAAAACTTATTGGAAGATATGCTATCGTATATTAGATTAGATACTTGTCAAAATATGCTATGTTTTGATAAAGAAAAAAGTTCGGCAGTAGGTCATTACATTTCTTGGCGTCGATGGGACTATTAATTTGCAAAAAGAAATAGACGATTTTTTTCAACCAATTACAAAATTCTGTGCATCAATAAATTGTAATTGCTCAAGAGAAGTGGTTACAAAACCAACCAATCATATAGTAGTGGAACTATTGTCAATACCAAAAGGTAAATAAAAACATCTTAATTATTTTAAAAGCATACGGGGAAGTGGCAAAATATCCTAATACCATTATTTGTATTTTTTAGTCATTGCTAATTAAAAAAAAAAAAAATAAATAAATAAATAATAATAATAATAATATTAGGTACGTACTATAATAGTGATATTAGCTATAATTAGATCCATTTGATATTTAAAATTAAAAAATAAAATTTGTTTTAACTATTCTGTGCAAAATTTTTATTCTCTAAAAAAAACAAAATATTAGACATAATAAAACTGGTAAGTAATACTAAAGGGCAACACCCCAAAGCTAACACCATAAGCACAGGGCCGTATTTGGACAATTTCCGCCCCGGGGCAACATATTTCCGCTGCCCCACCCCCCTCCACCACCAAAAAAAAGATACTATTTCTTAAAAAGTAAGGTGTAACTATTTTGTTGTATACAATTTTGGTACAAAGAAAATTGAACCAACTACATAAACATAATAATATATTAATATGCTACTCTCACTTATATAATATTGGCGAATTAAATGTATATACAATATACACTATAATATTAAATACATATTATGTGCGTAATTTATTATTGTAAAATTTATTATGAATTATATTATATTATGAACATTAAACAAAATTCCTTCTATTATAGTTATTTATTTATATAGGAAAACCAATGTCAATTTAAGAAAATAGTTTTAAGTAAATAATGTACCATTTATTATTAAGTATTAAGGTTTGAGAATAAAATTAAGGTGGGTAAGTGGATGTCGCTCTGCTGTACTGTAGGTCACAAGTGGGGCACTGTATAATGGATGGTATTAAATTTGAATGCAATGATATAATATCATTGTATAAGAAAAACGATTCTGAGCGAAGACGGTATGTCAGTCTAGGTTTAAGTCGTTTAAGACAAATTATATACATATCTATGGTATTAAAAAAAAAATTGACCTATAATAAATTCCAAATTAATCATATCACATTATCACAATATCCATTAGGTACTTATAACATGTTATACATCTACATCAATAACAAACCCTGATACTATCATAGATATATAATAGTACACTTTAGAAGTTTCAAGTAGGTACCCACGAATAATATTATATAATCACAACAAAATAACTAGGTTTTTTAATATGTCATTTCGTCCAAATTTGAACATAAAATGACTATAAAAATAATCTGTGATTGTATATTATTTAGATTTTTCGGTAAGAGAATTAACTACTTACGTGGAATCTTG